CATGAGACTGATTTTGACGTCGACTAAAACCAGCACCAGGAGCATCATACTGATTTGAGTCACGAGGTTCAGCAAAATTAGGAAGATTAGGTTAAGAACTCCCATGAGTGAAATTAAAAGAAACAACTCCAACGTCCTCTTTCTTGGTCTTCTCAATACGTGACTCTTGAGCAATAAGAAGGGACTCAAGCTCATCAAGAGACACAAACTAAAGTCTAGTGTTAACAACAGCCATTACTGAATAAAATTTAGAGGGTAGAGCTTCTAGGATAAGCTCAATTTGGTCACGATGCAATACAGGATTACCAATTGGCATTAAGGTGTCAACAATGGTACAAACATTGAGAGAAGCGAATAAGAGATTGTTGACAGTAGTCAGACGCACAACATCACATCTTGTTCTTCCCACACGACAAAGCTAGGGTTTTCATTTCCTGCATCGCCGTTAGCAATAAAGATTACACGCTCAGGGATTTAAGGTGAAACAGCGAATTTCACATCTTTATGACCACTACCGAAGTGATAAAAAAATCAGGATGTTAATTAGAATAATATAATTATGCCTACTTGTTATTACTCCCTCGATCCTAAAATAATTATACAAATTCCTTCATTTGTAAAGATTGACAAAATTGTGTTAAAGAAAAAGGAGAGAATGGTACTTTTGGTGAAGTACATTTATTATGTATTGTTGAATTCACGTTGATCTTAAATATAAATTAGAATATTTTGAATTGATAGTGATATAAATAGTATTCATTAGAGTGCACAATAGAAAAGGCATAGTAAATAGTGTTTTAATGAAAATTAATGAACGGTTACTCATTTTGCAACAACTTGTTTCACAAACGGTTACTCATAGTAATTATGATTATTTATTTCAATGTTTGTCATAAAAATTAAGCATACCTGAGACTTCTTGATGAAGTCATTTCCTTTTGCAAGTGTAGGTTTAGTTTCCTCAAATAGCTTAGTGGCAAGCAAAGCTTGAACGGCAAAACCAGCATCCCATTCTTGATTACCAAAACTCAAAAATAAATTTATTGAATGAATGTATCTCATTAGCTAAAGTAATAATAATGTGATAGTAATTAGTTTGTACTGATATACCACGAGTTAATATATAAACCAGCATGGTCATTCATCTTCTGAAACCCACAAGTAATCAGGGACCCTTCCTAGATGCTTCTTGAAAGCATTTCTGTTTGGATCTTTCACCCAACAAACAAGCATACAAAAAACCTGATAAATATATACATCTTAATGGAGTATTTTTGAATGAAACCTATCAGATGGTGATCAATACCCTTAATTTCTGTGCTACTTACCTTTTCCACACATCCAATAGTAAGGTATCGACTATTTTCATCCTCGTAGTGAATATGCTTCTGTTAATTATTTGTTTTTGGACTGCATTAAGTTTTTTTATTTATCATTATTGTTTCAGTTTTGTTTTAGTCAATTAGTGGATCCAAAACTTTAGGAGCAAGTCTAGTCAATTACCTCATGTTCCTAATGTGGTGGTGGTTAGTTTTATTTTGTAAACACTATAAGTGTTTTGGCTGTCATGAATAAAAATACAGTAAATTCCCATATTCTCAATCTCTCTGCTATAATAAAACCAACAATTGGTATCACAACTTTCTTTTTCAGGGCCTGTGAAAATGGAAGGTGAAGCAAATTTCTCACAAATTGCTCCGCCCACCTTTGATGGAGACAACTATGACCTTTGGGCAGTTAAAATAGAGTCTTATTTGGAGGTGTTGGACCTTTGGGAAGCTGTGGAAGAGGATTATGAAATTCCTCCGCTGCCGAACAATCCTAACATGCCTCAAATAAAATTGCACAAGTAGAAAAAAACCAAGAAGGCAAAGGCAAGATCATGTCTCTTTATTGGTGTTTCATCAATAATCTTCACCAGAATCATGACTCTCAAAACACCAAAAGCAATTTGGGACTACTTAAAGGAAGAATACGCAGGGGATGAGAGGATTCGAGGCATGCAAGTGCTTAACTTGATGAGGGAATTCGAGATGCAGAGAATGAAAGATTCTGAGACAATCAAAAAATACTCTGACAGGTTGCTTTACATTGCGAACAAGGTTAGATTACTAGGCACTGAATTCATTGATTCCAGAATTGTGGAAAAAATTCTGGTTACAGTGCCAGAGAGATACAAAGCATCAATAACTACTTTGGAGAATACGAAGGATCTGACCAAAATCACCTTAGCGGGAGTGCTACATGCCTTGCAGGCCCAAGAGCAGCGAAGGCTTACGAGACAAGATCACGTGGTTGAAGGTTCTTTACCAGCCAAACATCATGAAGTTGGAAGTAGTCAAAGCAGCCAAAGCAATGACAAAGGTAAAAAGAAAAGTTACCCACCTTGTGAGTATTGTGGCAAAATGGGTCACCCACCGTTCAGATGTTGGTGAAGACCAGACGCAAAGTGCAACAAGTGCAATCAGCTTGGACATGAAGCTGTAATTTGCAAAGGCAAATTTCAACAACATGAAGTTAATGCCAAGGTTGTAGAGCAAGATGAAGAAGATCAAATTTTTGTGGCAACATCCTTCTCAGCAAGGAGTAGTTCTGAATGCTGGCTGATTGATAGTGGTTGTACAAACCACATGACATATGATAAAGCTCTCTTCAAGGATTTGAAGCCTGTAAAATTCTCAAATGTCATAATTGGGAATGGTGATTATATTTCTGCAAAAGGAAAAGGAATCATTGTAATTTCAACTAGCTCATGTATAAAAACAATCTCAAATGTTCTGTATGTGCCTGACATTGACCAAAATCTACTTAGTGTGGGTCAATTGTTAGAAAAAGGATTTAAAGTTCTTTTCAAAAATCAACATTGTCTTATCTCTGACACTACCGGTCGGGAGATTTTAAGGGTAAAAATGAGAGGTAAAAGCTTCTCATTTGATCCAATTGTGGAGGAGCAGACAACTTATATCCCTCAAGTCAGTCACACTGAACTCTGGCATAAGCGACTTGATCACTGTCATATTCAAAGGATGCTGAACGTGAAGAGGTAAAATCAGTGTCAATTTGGTAAACAAAACAGAGTGTCATTTCCCAAAATAGTTTGGAGAGCCTTTCAAAAGCTGCAACTCATTCACACTGATGTGGCAGGACCTCAAAGAACTCCATCGTTACAAGGTAGTCTATACTTTATTCTTTTCATAGATGATTTTACAAGAATGTGCTGGATTTTTTTTCTTGAAAGTTCAAGAATATGGTGGAAACTCAAAGTGGTTGCAAGATACAATTTCTAAGATCAGATAATGGGAAGAAGTACACCTCAACCCAATTTAATCTGTTTTGTGAAGAAGCTGGTATTGTACATCAACATACAACCCCATACACTCTAGAGCAAAATGGAGTTAGTGAAAGGAGAAATAGATCAGTAATGAAAATGGCCAGATGCATGCTGCATGAGAAGGAATTGCCTAAAGAGTTTTGGGCCGAAGCAGCAAACACAACCGTTTTTCTTCAAAATTGACTTCCATCCTAGGCTTTGAAAGACAAAACTCATTTTTAGGCTTGTTTTGGATATAAGCCTTCACTAACCTTTCTTAAAGTGTTTGGTTGTGTTTGTTTTGCACATGTTCCACAGGTTAAGCGCGACAAGCCTGACAAGAAAGCACTTCCGAGTATTTTTGTGGGTTATAGTTCTGTTTCAAAAGCCTACAAAGTATATCATCCTCAAACTGGAAAGTTGATTGTTTCTAGGGATGTGCATTTCAATGAAGATCAATAATGGAATTGGAAGAACCCACAAAAAATAATTGGCTTTTTTAGCAATATTGAAGATAATTATGGCGGAAACCAAACAATAGAGTTGTGTCAGGATGAATTAGAAGATGACCCTCCTATTAGAGGCACAAGGCTGCTGTCAAAAATTTATCAAAGATGCAATGTAGAAGTATGTGAACCTAGTTACTGTGAGGAAGCACTCAAGGATCCAAAATGGAAAAAGGCAATGGAAGGTGAGATTTCGATGATTAAAAAAAAAACAACACATGGGAGCTGGTTGACAAGCCTCAGGATAGAAAAGTTATTGGAGTTAAATGGGTTTTCAGAACAAAGCTTAATGCGGATTGCTCTATTAATAAATACAAGGCCAGACTTGTAGTAAAAGTGTATGCACAAATTTTTGGTGTTTATTATTCTGACACTTTTGCACCAGTGTCCAGATTAGATACAATTAGATTGGTGTTAGCAGTTGCTGCTCAACAAGGCTGGAAAATATTCCAGCTAGATGTCAAATCAGCTTTTTTAAATGGAGTTTTACAAGGGATATATGTGGAGCAGCCAGAGGGATTTGTTATGCATGGTAAAGAAGATAAAGTCTATCTATTCAAAAAAGCTCTTTATGGATTAAAACAAGCACCAAGAGCTTGATATAGTAGGCTAAATGAACACCTATTGAGCATAGGCTTTGTGAAAAGCTTATCCGAGGCCACTCTTTATGTAAAACATAAGGGAAAAAATTTTCTCATAGTTTCCCTCTATGTTGATGATCTTTTAGTGACCGAAGATGATACAAGGTTGGTTGAAGAATTCAAACAAGAAATGATGCAAGTTTTTGAAATGAAAGATCTTGGTCTTATGTCTTATTTTCTTGGAATTGAGATCAAACAAAATGAGGATGATGTGTTCAAATGTCAAAAAAAAATATGCTAAGGAAATCTTAAAAAAATTTCAAATGGAGGAGTGCAGAGCGGTTTGCACACCAATGAACCAAAAGGAAAAGTTGAGCAAGGAAAATGGTGTTGACAAAGTTGATGAAGGCTATTTTTGGAATAAAGATTTTATATAAAATCAAAAGAAAGAGAATATACAAGGGTATAAAGGACCCCAACCACAAAACACCCAAAAAAGGCGGCATGATTACGATACTTCCAAACTTCATAGATGGTCTCAGCTACCGCACTACGCAAAATGCAATTTCTCCAGCCTTTCCCTTTACAATGTGTGACTAACCACTAGAGCTCTTCACGCCATTCACAAGGGACATGTTGAATCTCCAAACACGCCAGAATTTGCTGCCAACCGTTCTTGAACGACGGGCAATCGAATAAGAGGTGGTTAATTGTTTCCTCCTTGTTGCAGAAATTACAGCTCTCATCGGTCGTAAGGCCAAGCTTCTTGAGTCGTCCCCTTGTCACAAGTCTACGGTGGCAAGCCATCCACATAACAAAAAGGGCTCTTGATCTAGCAATAGAGTTGGAAAACATATGCTTCCATCCAACATCAGGTTCATCTTTCTTGAGGAATTGGTATACTTTTCCCACAAAGTACCTCTCCTTCTTTTCATTCCAATCGTCCATAGCAATTATGATGGTTCTATGTCTAAGCAGAGCTTTGAAAATCCAATACAT